GCTGAGGAAAGATGCCTGGCGCAGCACCCAAGTAACAGCACCTGGTCAGGGAAGTGGCGGCAGACAGTGAATTCTTATCACCACTGAGGGTCAACATCACCTGTCGTAAAAAGGTGGCCAAAAATCCACTGCTAGATAGTAGATTGAGGGAGGGTGACTGACGGGTTTTTGTGCAATGGACGCTTTGCGCATTTCTGGAAATGAACGACAGTGACCTGATCAGCAGCACCAGTTCAGCGATTTTTGTGCCAGAGATTCAGATCTGGAATTTGTGCTGGGGAATTACAGCGGCGCTTAAAAGCTTGTGAACCCTTTGGCTGTTCAATATTTCTGCATGATGACGACCTAAAACCTGATCTGTTCTCCACACGCGTCCTAAAATGAGATGAGAATCCAAAATGGGTTAAAAACATTATTCATTTATTCACTGAGGAAAAGGATCTAAAGCTACGTACTTGTGTGTGCAAAAGCGTGTGAACCTCTGGGATTCTTAGTTCACTTGAAGGGGGAATCAGAGTCAGGCGTTTCAATCGATGGGATGATAGTCCGGTGCGGGTGTGGGAGGCCCTGCCTTATTTAAAGAACAGAATTCAGGGTATTCGCTATCAAAGGCCGGTCTTCACAACACCGATATGCGCCAGTGTGTCATGGCTTGAACAAAGGTTTCTGAGGACCTCTGAAAGACAGTTCTTGATGCTCGCCAGGTGGAAAAGGTTACAAAGGATTTCCAGAGAGTTTGACTCCAACGTACACCATCAGGCAGACTGTGTACAACAGAGGCAATTCAACACGTTACCTTCTCCAGGAGCGCTCTCCTTCAGGGCTCCATTTGGCTTTTGAAATCTTCCTTGAAGACTAGAACTTCTGCAGGTGCTGAAAGACAGCGTGTGTGAGAACCGGCACTGCCCCATTCCCAATAAAGATGCTTTCCTGGAGCCCCAGTGAGTTCAAAGTACAGTTCATTTATTTATTAAGCAGCAGCGTATAGTCGCAAAAGCGTTGCTGAAACTAAAAATCCCGCACGCACCAATCTTTTTCTTCAGGCCCCTTTCCTTTTACTCCCCCTTCCCAGCCCACAGTCCTGCTTCCTGCTTGCTCCTGGTCTCACGCTGGTACCACCCTGGCAATCCTGAGAACAGACAACACGGCATCTGTCTCTCTTGTTCTCCTGTTTCTCTCCTCCCGCCCCCCCTTCCGGCAATGGCAGAACCGAAGCGAGCAAGCTGGGCACAGTGGATAATATTTGCAAGGTTTCTGACAGCGTGCTGTGTCTGGGCAAAACGCAGAAGCGAGGGGCCGGGCGGAGGGCAGGCCAGGAGGTGGGGAGAACTGGGAGAGCCAGACACGGTCGCAGCCGCTGCATCAATTGTTTTCTGCAGCTTTCCCTCCTGGCCAGCAAGGCCTTCCATTTGCCCCTCATCCTGGACCGACTCACAGACCTCTGTTAACCCAGCCAAACGTTCTGTGCACTCGCATCTGACAAACCTTCCTGTGTCCTGCTGATAAACGTACATACTTCATTCACTGACTGTAGGGACACAAAAACCAGCCGCCGCCCCCAGCCCATCTGACTCTCAAGAGCCCTCGGCTTTTGCCTGCCAAAGAGCAGAGGGTGACTGAGAGAGGAACGATGCTCAGTCCGGGAACGTGGTGGGTGAATGGATGGGAAAGCATGCACTCTCTCTCTCAGCGGGCTCCTGAATTTCGGTGCAACCACAACCCTGGCATTCACCATTCACCCAGAAAGGTTCTTTCAATAACTGAGAATTTATTAGTGCAAGGCAAATTTATGTGCCTCACACCCACTCCATACTCGCCACACCCCCTACAGCTAACACTGGCCAGAGTCGGGAGTGCTGGACAAAGTCTGGATCCCGAAGCTTCTTGGTCCCTCCCGATTCGCTCCTTTTGTAAGCAGCACTGCAGCCCAAGCCCTCCGGCTGAAGGCCCTTTTCCTTTTCTGGACTTATCTTGCACCTTGTTGACCTCTTGTCCTTTCACACACCCAAGTGAGCCAGAGGCTTTTCGAGGCGCCCCCTCTGTTACCCCTGCACTGCACCAGAACCTCCCTTTTGCGCTCCTGGCGCCTCTGAGCGTGTCTGCAGCCGGTCGTATCTCCCTAGTTTACCCTGGCCACAGGGTAATCGTCATTACTATTCTAGTTTGGCTTGCGATCTTTGGCCCTGGAGGTTTCGCACAGTCCCGCATAGCTGCAAGGGGAGGGGGCTACCCTCTCGGAGCTACCCCACTGCGGTCTGTGGTGCAAATGGGCTACACTGTGCACTTCCACCACTGACCAGGGCCTGTGCACTTTCTGGAGCGACCCGTTTCATTAAAAGGCAGCCGCAGCTCTCTTCATCGGATGCATGGAGGGGCTGAAAGAAAGTGAGATTTAAATGGGGCTGATGGGGGGGAAAGGCAGGTGATACAGCGGACAGGCAATCCTACTTCTGCTGAGCTGCCCCCTTGCCTTTCCTCTCAGCTGCAGCTCACGGAAGCTTCTGTTCTTCCATCGCCTTGTCTGGTCCAGAAAGGGTTGCCGCCAGGCTCCTCCTGGAGGAAAGTGGGGCACCACAGAAGCAGGCAAGTTTCGTGTGAAGCCAGGGGCCCCAAAGCAGGCAAGGCAAGGGCAGGGCAGGGCAGCCCTGCTGGGTGTAAGGTTTACCCCGTTCGTCTAGAGAAACTCTCATAACACGTGTGCAACAAAGTTTACTTGAGCGTAACGTGCAGTAGTTACAAACAAAGCCAGGACTGGCTTGGCACATCTTGTGATACAATTTAGTTACCGCCTTCCCGCGCTTTGCCCTGTTGCTACGTTACATATTGCAGAGTATAGATTGCCCATGTAATCCCCCCTTTTTCTCGAATGGCAGGTTCAGCCCAGTTCTTATTGTTCCTTGATTGTTCTGGCCCGCTGGCGTGGTCGTGGTTCCTCTGGTTCCTTTCAGCTGCGCGCAGAGCCGGGGTTTTTCCAATTGCGCGCTGATCGCCTTCCACCGAGCCGCGGCTCAGCCCTTTGTCTCGGCGCTCGCGGCTAATCAGCGTTGATACAA